TGCTCCAACACTGGAAGTTTTTAAGAAGAGACTGGACAGCCATTTGTCTGAAATGGTGTAGGGTTCCTGCCTGAGCAGGGGGTTGGACTCGATGACCTCCAAGGTCCCTTCCAACTTTATTATTATTATTATTATTATTATTATTATTATTATTATTATTATTATTATTATTATTATTATTATTATTATTATTATTAAATCTCCACTCTACCTCAACTTGCCCTTCTTGTGCACTAATCCTGCCCTTCAACTTCTCTTGCGAATCTTTGCATCTTCCCAGTGCACTGTGCCAGGGGACAAACCTGCTTGAACTCGATTGCCACATAACCAAAGATGGGATTGTGGTTGTGTCCCATGATGAAAATATGAAACGGCAGACAGGGCACAACATTGATATCAGCCTTACATACTATAAGGTGAGCGTCTCTAGATCCTTGGTCCCCCACATGCTCTGGCTTTGGGGTGTTATTCAGTTCCCTTCTATGACAGATTTTAACGTATGTAATGTTTCCAGGCTGTTTCCCATTATTAAGTCATTAGATATGAGTCCTGCCTTTCCTCCAGAAATTCAAGGTGGAATAGATAGCACCCTCCATTGTTAACACTTTAAAAAAAAATACCATTGAGCTAGGTTGGGTGGAGAGTGTGTGATTCGCCCAAAGTCACCTCGTGAAATGTATGACTGGGAGAGGATTTGTGTTCGGGTTGGGCACCATTGTAATGATAAAATGATCCTTGATGAAACCACCATTGTGCCATCACAATGCAAGCTTCACCACTTTTGAGAGTGCAACACGCTATTGCAAGCACGTAACGAAAGAGGTGACGCTTGGGTCACAACAGAATAAGGCTGCATTTGAATGAAGGTGTTGATATCCTGCAAATGGATCTAACTTGGACCTTATCACTCCTATTTCAGCATTCCAACCACTACACCCCAAGGGCTTTACACACTTTCCAGAAACAAGATAACTTCCATATTACTCCCTTTGAACAATGGTTCTAGCTCTATGGGGAGAACCAAAGAGCTTCTCCCCAAACAGGAGGACCTGCTCTTCATTCCCTCCCTTCAACACATATGGCAAATCTCTCTCAAAACCACTCTTACTCCTTACTCTCATTGGTTGTGTCCCCTAGGATTTGCCACACTATCAGTCTTCTCTGGAGGTGACATTTTCTCCAGGTGAGTAGGACTATGAGTTGCTTTGGGGAAAATGTGTTGTGGTAGAAAGCAAATCATTTGTTCTCTTTGTCCCTGAGAAAAATGCTCAGTTCTTTGTAGCTACCCTCAACCTACCCTTCCTAACAGGGAGCTTCTCCTCTGGCACTGATCATCAGATTCCTCGTTTGGAAGAGGTTTTTGAGCAGTTCCCTTCAATCCCGATTAACATTGAAATTAAAGAGGATAATGATGAGCTCATCAATAAGGTAATAAACCCAACTGAGCTATTCAAATTTCTTTCCTGTCCAACATCTCCAACACCATTTTGCATGAAGTATAGCAGGGCTTTTCAACATTTTCACCCATTGTACCACTTTTAGGATATGGCAACATCCGAGTACCACCAGTCGCCTAGCAAGGTGTCAAAAACTTGATGACCAAAAAAAAAAAAAGAGGAAAAAAGTGATAAAGTACAGGTAGTCCTCGACTTACAACAGTTCACTTAGTGACTGTTTGAAGTTACAATGGCACTGAAAAAAATGACCCCCAAAGCCACAGCCGCGCAAGACACCTGCCTGCCCGCCTGGTGCTCTTCCTCCTGTCCGAGGTTTTCATTGTTGTGAGCATTTCTGTTGAGGATTGGCAGTGGGGGTGGGGTGGGGGGTGTTTGGTTTTTATTCCCCCCGTCTGCTGGGTGGTTGCAGCAGGTTTTGGTCACTTCACTTCACACTGGGACACTGTGACCGTCATAAATATGAATCAATTGCCAAGCATCTGAATGTAAATCACAAGACCCTGGAGATGCTGCAATATTCCAGCTGATTGGTGCTTCTTCAGGGCTCAGCAGAAGCACCAAGATCAGCGCCAAGCTCCAGCCGGAGCCTGGCGCTGATCCTGGCGCTTCCACTGAGCCCTGACAGCCCCGAAGTGTCGATCAGCTGGAAAGCGACACTGATCCTGGCGCTTCTGTTTAGCCCTGACAGCCCTGCAGCTCCAGCCATCTCTCGCTCAGGCTTGTGTGGTGCTGCCACCAGTTCAGCTCATTCCCCTCCCCCGCTACCACTTTTCTAGGATGGTTGCGTACCACCTGCCAGGTGCCAATGTACCACAGGTGGTACCCATACCACTGGTTGAAAAGCCCTGATCTTGGCCAATGTCCACCTTCCAGTCTCTACATCTCTCGTGCAGATCTATGTTCACTTTTATACCTGTCAACATAAAGCTATGTTATTCACCAAAACAGTCTCTCCCACACACAGAACCATATTCAACTTGAAAATCTCTTATCAATTAAGATACAAGACACTTTCTATTTTTGTAGTAGACAAAAATACAGTAATAGTAGAGGTATTCCTTGTGTGTCTAATCACACTTGGTCAATAAAAAATATTTCTATTCTATTCTATTCTATTCTATTCTATTCTATTCTATTCTATTCTATTCTATTATTATTTCTATTTCTATTTCTATTTCTATTTCTATTCTCTCATTCCTGTAATTCAGTCACATTCCTAAGAATATATTATAGAACATCCAGGAAGATGTTGACCTCCCAGGTCTCATTCCACTTCTGCAGTTAACTCTTTCATCTGAGGCTGCTCAAATCCATTGAGAAATTTGGATTCATCATTTTGGGGGAAAAAAGTTTGCTACAGGAGTGAACTTTCAATGGGTTTTAAAACATATCTGGGATTTTACATAAAAATAGCAGTCATAGAGGAAAGGAAATAAGTAATCAAAGGCTTACATAGTTTCAAGAAATATTCACATTTTCTCCTAAACAACATTGAATTATGGAATCATAATTTAGAGCAGGAACTGGCAGTCTTCTCTGGGGAAGGAGAGATAACTATTGTTGTATAAGGCTTTCAGTTTGCTAGGACCAGGAATATCACAGGCTGCCTGAGTCACCAGAACCAAAAGAACCACAATTTGTATGTCCTTTTGACCATATAATAACAGATAGTCCTCAGTTTACAACCATTTGTTCTAAGTTGTGAAGAAAAGTTATTTATGACCCGCTCCTTGCACTTACAATCGTTGTAGCATCCCCATGATCAAAATTTGGACACTTGGCAACTGGCATGTATTTATGGTAGTTGCAGCGTCCGAGGGTCACATCCCATTTGCAACCTTCTCAGATGGCTCCCAACAAGCAGGGTCAATGGGGGAAGCCAGATTTGCTTAATGACCATATAGTCACATAACAACTGCAGTGATTCACTTAATCATGGCAAAAAAGTTGTAAAATTGGGCATGACTCACTTTAAAATGCGTATCGGCGGACATTCAGGTCCCCATTGTGATTGTAAGTTGATGACTACCTGTATTTTATGGTACTATGAACTTGGAAGCTTCAGAGACAGTAAAAGAATAAAGAGCTATAATTATCCTAAGGGTCTTCATGTTGTCATCCTTGTGCCAAGAGTACAGGTGGCCACAGTCCTGGCTGGTGGATTGGGAGCTCTACATACAGGTAGTCCTTGACTTACAACAGTTCGTTTAGTGACTGTTCAAAGTTACAACGGTACTGGAAAAAAATGACTTATGACCATTTTTCCCAGTTATAGCAGTTGCAGCATTCCCAGGGTGACATGATTTATGTTCGGATGCTGGACAACTGATTCATTCTTATGACGGTTGCAGTGTCATGGGGTGGTGTGATCCCCTTTTGCAACCTTCTGACGAGCAAATTCAATGGGGAAACCAGATTCACTTAACAACCCTGTTACTAATTTAACAACTGCAGTGATCCAGTTAACAAACACGGCAAGAAAAGTTGTAAAATGGGGCAAAATTCCCTTCACAAGTTTCTCACTTAGCAACATAAATTTTGGGCTCAATTGTGGTCGAAAGTTGAGGACTACCTGTATTCATATCACTGTTCACATCAAGGTGTTAGAAGAAGCTGAATGTCTATAGAGCTCCACAATATAGTAGGAAAATGCGTAAGACTACCTTTGCCCAAATCAATGCCCAACAGAGAAACCCCCTGATTGGTGCCTTCAGACTCCGTTCCCACTCATCTGATTGGTGCTTCTGCAACTAAAAACTGACATTCCTTCTAGGAATCCGTTATCTGAGTACGTGTTATTTTGCCTTCTTCCTGTGAACACAGGTAGCACATCTTGTCCAGACATACCATCGTTCCCACATCACCATCTGGGCCTCCATCCATGATCGAATACTTAAAAAATGCCACAAAGCTGTGCGTATCAAATGTCTTTTTCTCCAATTTCACATTTTATGTTTACAAAACCTTTTTTGCTTAAAGCAGGGGTCTTCAAACGTGGCCCTTTTATGACTTGTGGACTTCAACTCCCAGAATTCCTCAGCCAGCATGGCTGGCTGAGGAATTCTGGGAGTTAAAGTCCACAAGTCATAAAAGGGCCAAGTCTGAAGACCCCTGGCTTAAAGCTTCAGGCTGTATAAACATAATGTAAGTTTTTTCCAATTCTTCAGACAGCAGTAAATAAAGTATCCCTTAACACAGGTACTCCTCGACTTACAAACATTTGTTTAGTGACCAGGTTACCATGATGCTGAAAAAAGTAACTTACCTCACACCTACAACCGTTGCAGCATCTCCACGGTCACAAATTCGGGTGCTTGGCAACTGGCCTGTATTTATGACCGTTGCTGAGAGCCTCTGACAAGCAAAGTCAACGGGGGAAGCCGGATTCGCTTAACAAGTGTGTGATTCACTTATCAACCACAGCAGAAGAGTCATAAAATTAGGCACGACTCACTTAACACCACCTTATGTAGCAACGGGAGGTTCCTGTCCCAATTGTGGTTGTAAGTTGAGGGTTACTTGTAACACATTAGAGCACGGGTGTCAAACTCGCTGTGTCACGTGACGTGTCATGACCTATCGAGACTTTTTTTGCATTGCCGGAGCTGGGATGGGCACGGCCTTAGCATGATGCAACCGGCCCGTGGGCTGGCAGTTTGACACCCCTGCATTAGATCATGGTTAAAAACTCCCCTCCCTTCCTCCTTTCTCTCCCTAAGCTTTCTTCGTAGACCAACTTGTTACACCTGCTTTTTCCAGTTCTGCATAAGCATCAGACAGCAGCTCCCTACATCCACCAAGCAAGATGGAAAGACTGTGTTAAGCAGTTGTGTTTGCCAAGTCAGGGCAAAAATTGTTATTTTCCCTGAATCTTCCCCTTTATTTGGGGCATTTGGATGCTCAGCGAGCTAGAAAACAAGGCGGTGGGATGAAGGGCAGAAACCTTCCTAGGACTGAAGTCTAGGCATGACCAATCCTCCCACTGTCTAAAATAAAAATAAATGTTATTTATCCTCCAGAATAAAGACATGCCCTACATCTTCTCCAGGAAGAGAGTCATCGTCATGCTTTGTCTCTGGTATCTTGGACTCCTGCCCTTCTGCCCTCTGAAGGAATCGTTCCTTGAATTCGTGCTGCCCTCGATCATAAACAGGTGACAGTCACTACAAGGGTGGGATTCAGGCAGAAAAACATACAGACTTAGAAACATGGTTGTCTATCTACCGTAATGATCAGGCTTTGGAAGTCGCATGCCACATTTGCTCCCCACCCCCTTCAAATAGAGCCGTGTGTCAGCTTTGGAGAAACACTTTCCTGGCATGCTAATTCTGAGAAAAGGGAGGGTTATTTTGTGTCCACGTCACACAATGGCCTTTCTGCAGGACCAGCAGCTAAGCAGCATCCAAGAATTCTCAACCGAGGAGAGCAGAGAAGTGAGGTCAATTGGTCTATCACAGGGGTAGGCAACCTTGGCTCTTTTATGACTCGTGGACTTCAACTCCCAGAGTTCCTGAGCCAGCATGGCTCAGCTTGGAAACTCTCCTTTTCCCCTCAGTGTGGCTGGCTCAGGAATTCTGGGAGTTGAAGTCCACGGGTCATAAAAGAGCCAAGGTTGCCTACCCCTGGTCTATCAGCTCCAGTGAGCCATGGCCAACGCCGCCCTCTCAAACCCTTTGCTCTGGCTTTGCTTGCCTTTTTTATGAGACAACCTAACTCCAGCTGCTCCTGCTCATCCAATACAGCTAATCCTCGACTTACAACAGTTCATTTAGTGACAGTTCAAAGTTAGAACGGCACTGAAAAATGTGACTTACGACCGTTTTTCACAATTACCACCTTTGCAGCATCCCCGTGATCACGTGATCAAAATTCAGATGCTTGGCAACTGGTTCATAGTTATGACCGTTGCTGTGTCCCAAGGTCATGTGGTAACCTTTTGTGACTTTCCGACAAGGAAGTCGGATTCATTTAACAACTGGATTACTAACTTATCAACTGCAGTGAATCACTTAACAACTGTGGCAAGAAAGGTCGTAAAATGGGGCAAAACTCACTTAACAAATGTCTTTATGAACAACAGAAATTTTGGGCTCAATTGTGGTTGTAAGTTGAGGACTACCTGTACAATCTGATAGGGTTGACATGTGCCAGTTCCCATCCATTAATCAATGTCATCTGATGGGACCCAAGCTATGTGCCTTTTCTATTGCTGTTCTATTGCTGTTCCTATGGGACAACATTTTTCCAAGATCCAAATGGCCCTGCCTGTCTGTCTTCTGAAAGGCTAGGAAGACCAGCCTTTTCCCAGGCATTCAGTCAAGAGATGTGGGGAGTCCTTCTGGATCAATTGTTTCTACCTGCAAGGTGTTGTGTTCTTTGTATTCCCCCCCCTTAATCCCCTATGCATATCCTGATCACCCATTAAGGGTGATTGCCCTTCACCATTGATCGCCCATTAAGGGTGATTGCCCTTCACCATTGATCGCCCATTAAGGGTGATTGCCCTTCTCCATCTGCATACAGTTTCATGCCCGTTGCTGGTTGGCTAACTAGCAACAG